GTCCAGCGCATCTATCATGTGGCGCTTTTGAGTACAGAGCAAAGGTGCACACACGCGCTGGGGGCTATGGGTGTCAATGGCGAACACTCACGGACACGCCCGAAGAAGCGAGGAGCTGCAGCAGCCTGCTGAGTCGCCAGTACGCTCGACTACTTCAATGAAGCTTGTACAATAACTTTGTCTTCCCTGACTTGTGATTTGGAAACATTAGTGTGACCGACCAACACACCTGGACAGTTTTCCTATCAGTTTCACGTTCGAAATTTTAAGCCCCTAGGTTGATCCTTTCCAAAGCTTGTAGTATCTCATAAAGAGCTACTACCCCTCACCAAGGCCCAAGAAATCCAACCGGTCTCAAAGGCTAACACGAGATCTAAAAAGATGGTCTACAACAAAGGAATGTTACGAATAATTTTTTCGAAAGCAACGAAATTGCAGCCTTTGTAAAATACAATGTCCAGGAGAACAAGATTGAATGCTTACTTTTCGCAATCCGATAGGGTTTCGACAGTAATGCGCTCTATCGTATCGTTAAGTATCATACTGCGTCCATCCGAACGGAATATCACTACGAGAACCAGAAACACAGGACGATTTCGGGGTTTAAAGGACGGACACTCGAAGGCCTTCTATACACTGTTGTAAGGCGGTTAAGATGCAAATTCAATGGTGTAGGCCATCAGGCAAACGTCTACATTCTTTGGGGAAAAATGTTTCTCCAAAGTCCTGGGAACGTTTGTATGTTACATCTTGAATAGGCCGTAGGGCCAGGAGACCCCGGACTCAGAAAGATTACAACCTACTCGAAGGGCTACAAAGGTTCGCCACAAAATAAGTAAGAGTTTAAGAGAAACCGCCATGGAAGGTCAGATTAACTAGCCTAAATTTCTATCCTCTGCGTTATAGGCAGTTGTGCGAAGACTTGACAGACCTTCCGTATCGTGGGTAGTTTAGACTGCACCCACATTTGAGGTGACATCTTCCAACCCGCCATTACAATCAAACTCCAAAGGCATCCATTCAGACTAGGTGTCAACTGGGAAAGATTAGACGTGGGGAAGTATTTTTCTTAATTCGCATAGTGGGACCATGGAATAACTCGCCCAAAACGATTGCAATGTCTCAGCCTGTGGAGGCATTTAAACATCGGCTTGACAGACACATGCTGCAGCAAGGAGCGGATTGCGTACCTATGGGACCACAAAAACAAATGAAGGATGTGAACCTAAGTCTGTTTCCAAATGACGCCGTAATTTCTTTACATCGTTGCTAATGCTTCCTAGTTGTATGTGAAAAATAGGTAGTCCGGATGAGTAAGCCTACTTTCCTCAAATCTACCGAACTGAACTGAGAGCATTTACTTTAACCGTGTATAACCGCAAGTATTAAGTGATCAGAAGAACGACAAAACTAGCAAACCTTTCTGTCTAAGGCAAAGTATCTAAAAAGGGTATCCGGGATGAATTAGACTGAGTTTGAGTGTCAGAAAACCAATGTCGCCTCCTATTCAAACACAGAGTAGTCAATATCACCGGATGGGCAAAGCTCTAATGACGGTGCTCGCAACCGGGTAAAGCGGTAGGCGCAAGTAGGGTTACGAGAGCGGCCATTAGACAGACACGGAAGACTACGGTTTCCAGGTGAACGCGCACCAACTTCTCACCGTAACCGGGGAATGTGCGCGGTTTGGTCCTGCTGTGGTGTCAAATTCTGGTTCGTGGACATTTCGGGAAAGTTCAAGTACAAGACATCAGGTCCTTATATACTGAATCTGACAAAAGTGTGGGCCACCAGATTGCCTATTGGACGACTCTCGGGGGTAAGAAGATTACAAGGGAAAAAGAAGACCGTATGGCGGAGTGGTGTAAGCGCAAGGAGACGATCGGAGGCCTTGTAAACGTCATATAGAATCTATGACTCTGAGGAATCTAACGGTATGATGAGAGCTAAAATGAACCCTAGTGGACTCCCACCTCAACAACCACACAGAAATCCACTGATAGGAACTGGATCTGAACAAACGGTAGGATTTCAATTTGGCTGGCATTGGACATAAGTCCACTGGCATAATGGAAAGCGAGAGCCACCGTAGCACCGATGGAAAGGCCTTACGGAATCTATCTACGAGGAAGTTGCGCGACTATGCTGAAATAAGTTAACAATACATTTTTTTGCTTACGCTGTAATAACATCCGGGAATGGTACTGACAGTAATTGCTATTACTTAGAATAAGTACGTAGTGTGTACCACGCAACATACGTAGGGATGGGATGGCTGTATGTCAATTTTACCGATAAAAATTACCGAAAATGCTCAAACGGAAACAAGTTACCACTTAGCCGGTGGCGGTAGGTACGGGGCGGTCTGCAGAATTTTCGCCGGCCTAGCGGGGCAGGTGCTACGCACGCTTGTGAGACACGAAACGTGGACAAAACTGCCGGTTTAATAAAAGAGTAAGAAGAAAAAACCGTCAAGAGGTAGTTTACAGGTCAAATTTTTGCGCTGCTACTTCAATCCGAAAAATAAACGTTCGAACTCGTGCAAATACATGTGATTATTTGGAGGTAATTAGAATGACTTAATTAGTAACATTTTGTCAAACTGCTTAACATTACAACCAAAAGCGAGTTAAGTGTCAGGAACCACTTCCGTCAAGGCTGATCACAGAGACGGGCGAAACAGAGAATGAAGGTTAATGACGCGGAAGGTGGACGCGTGGATCGTTTTCTCTATTTCTGTTTCTCCTAGGATGAAGGATTTTAGAGCATTTGGTAGAGTTTTAAATTGGACTGCAGTCTTTTCTGGACTTCTTTAGTGCAACGTGAGAAACCAGGGGATTTGGTTAGTTGCCGACTGATGTAAAGAGCTGCACTCAAAGCACCTGTCATGTAGAGGAAGGCTGCATAGTTCATTTGGAGGTAGACCCACTCCACCGTCCTTTGGAGCCTGTGTTCAACAAAAAAGAGTTTAGTGTCCTTGTAGGTCATCTGACAGCGACGAGTATAGGCCTCATCGCCTGGAAACAGTTCCATAAGATAACGTAAGAAGTCCGCCTTCAATCTCAGCATGCTTGCTTTGTCTTGTGCCGGAGCCCAAAACTGTTTCATCACCCTCTCATCTAGAATGCGAATGTACTCCTCCACAATAACCCTGGCCTGTTCTTTGAGTTCCTCTCTCAGATTCGGCGGAACTACAACTTCAGGATTAGTCAGAAGGTTCCTTATGCTCAGTACGTAATCCCTGTAACGCCTTTTGATCTCCGGAATTTTTTCATTTGTCAGGATACAGGCCTGGAAGAGAGAATATGACAGTTCATAAAGGCCATTCTTCTTTTCCCGAATGTCCTGGAGGGCTCTTTCGATCACCACATCCAGCTGCCCCGTCTTCCTTCTAATGTCGTCCTGGGCAGCGTCTTCATCAGCGGAGCGAATAATCTGTGCACCTGAAAATTTTTTGAGAACTAAAACAGCGAGGGCTTACGCGCAGGAATACCGGCGGCGATGTCCATGAACTGCCTTTTAGAAGCATAGGTGCTAGATACTAAGCTGGATGTTTAAAGCCGAATGCAAAGATTTTACTTTGTGAGGTGTCCAATTTTTCAAACTGCGAATCATCCTTGGTGGATGGGCCTTCAATTCGAAAGCGGAATGGGGGCGTGAACGCTTTGAACAGAATTGCATCTGTGATCTAAAGTAAGTGAATAATCAAAACATAGAGTAACATTTTAACGGACTGACTAAATATGCTTCAAACAAAACTCAGAACCTGATACAGAAGCGGACTACTTGTAAGACAACGGCTTATCTATACGACCGTATGCCAAAATGAAAAGGCACATTTTTGAACAGCGGACGCCACTCGCATGCGACCTTGAATATTCCGGATTTCAGTGGATAGGACGCGAATACTCAACTTTAAAATGCCCGTCGATCAACTGACTCCATTTTCGCACTTTATGCGTGCCAGGCTATTTGAGAATAGTTTCACTGTTTACCTATTGTTTTTTTTCACTGTTGTTCACCTTCGCATCTAATTCCAACTTGGTTACTTTAACGACGCCAATCAGCGAGCGTCCAACTCGTCAGTCATCATTCTGATGAGAAATTTATTCATGAATACACAGGTTACACACATTGGCAGTATGCAGACGGATGATCAATAAACAGTTATTACTGCTAAATTCCAGGAAGGTGAAATTTAAAGGAACGAATCTGGGCATTAAGCATTAAGCATGACAAACAGCGGACAGGCAGAGAGTGTGGGAGCATCGATGAGCTCGCCTGTGGACTAATTGCCGAAGTGGTTTTGCAGAAGCTGAAACATCTTATTTTCAGTTCGTATTTGCCGAAGTTCTGGGCCTGATACGACGACGACGCGTTTGTTATATCCAAAAGGACCGATGTGCAGGCTTTCAAGGAATTGAAAAGTCAAGTTGGCGAACACGCGTTTTCGGTAATTCTTCCTCAGGCCAATACAATTACATGAAGGAATGAAAATGTACAAAATCAACAGTGTTTATAGATGCCTCAAGGGCTATTAAGTCACTAACACTCATCATCCCCACGCCGCCCGCATGAGAAGGTCGGCGGGGGGTTTGAGTAAAAATGCGAGTCGCGGTACAAAATGGATGAAGATAAACCAGCTACTAAGATTCAGTTAGTAGCTACCCAAGTCACTGGAACAGGGTTTTACACTTACGGAGATGAAAAGTTAGTAAGAGTGCCATTCGCACCGTTGGAAAAATCTGTTGCTTTTCACACCTTGGTAAGGCATTTGGTGTCTGCTCAATGGCATTTATAGTAGGACTAGCTAAATGTGCTGTCTAGTTTCCTCTTATTAAGACAGGTAACTTTGTGGCAAAAACACTACTCAGTATACAGCCACAACAATCGTGAACAAGTGCACGGTGGTGACCGATAAAGAGCGAGATAACTCGGTCGCAATCGATCAATACGACGTATTGGATATGCTTGATCGGACAGGCGATTGTCAGCTGGTACCTTTTACCGCTGCCTCCACTCCCCCCCCTTCCGGAAAAATATTCCCCTGTCGTAGCCCCACAAAAAGTCTAGTGAAGAACTAAATCGCTGTCAAAATCTTGTTCACTAACCCAGTCTTAACCTTAGCTGTGCAGGAACACTGGTCTTTGCCTTACTCATAAACAACATTCTGACTTAATTTACCGCTAACTTTAAGCATAACTTTCAAATGATCGAGAGATTGGGGATTACATTGAGGCTCGCTTTAGTTCCAGGCATAGGTTTAAGAGTACAATATTTGCGGATAAAGGGGCTGAATACAACAATAAGGATACTGCTGTACTGGGAGTTCATGAGAGACGACAACGACAAATTCGCGTGATATAGCTACTGACTGAATCTAAGTAGCTGGTTTATCTTCATTCATTTTGTACCGCGACTCGCATTTTTACTCAAACCCGTCGGCGGGTGTTAGTCCCCTAGCTTTTACGACTAACACCCGCCGACCTTCTCATGCGGGCGGCGTGGGGATGATGAGTGTTAATGACTTAATAGCCCTTGAGGCATCTATATACACTGTTGATTTTGACATTTTCATTCCTTCATGTAATTGTATTGGCCTGAGGAAGAAGTACCGAAAACGCGTGTTCGCCAACTTGACTTTTCAATTGTAACATGGGAATATATGCGGAACTTAGACAATTTCAAGGAATTGTTGAGTTTAATCTTTACGGACATCTAAGCTACCATGAAAAGGAAGTCAACGATCAGTTGCTCTTCCTTGGCATATAAGTTTCAAAGAGTGGCAGACGGGAAAATAAGGACAACAGTCTACCGTAAGGTGACTAGCGCCATGCGCACCTCCACTATGGAGGCAACCACCCTGTTGGTCACAGGCGCACTCGTGCCAGAACCATCTTCCAACGCGTTCAAACACACTGTGGGAGGAAGGAAGATATGAAGTACTTACGGTCTCTATTTAAAACCAATGTTTGTCAAAAGTGATTCATACGCAAGTTTCTCATTTTTAGCGGTCAAGCGGAGAAAAGGCGACGTTCTGACTAGCATCCCCCTACGTAAAAAGATTTCACAGACGATGGGAAAGTGCTTACAACCAAAATTCACGGTCAGGCAGCAAATCACGAGACCCCCGCTTCAGAGGACTGTATTGCCTTGTTTTCTTCCATACAACACGATTTGGCAACTGCATGCGTAACCCAACGCCTACAGAACAATCCTACTGAGATCCCAACGCAGCATGTTATAGAACTGCTAAATCTTTGCCTTAGGAACTATTGTCAATTCGATAATAGGTACTAACAGCAGGTAAAGGGAACTCCGATGGGCTCACCGATATCAGGATTGCTCGCCGAACTAGTGTTGCAGCGACTAGAAGAGGTAGTTTTCCAAACTACCAAGCCAAAACTATGGCTTCGCTACGTTGATGACACCTTTGTCATAATAAAGACCTGCGAAGTCGAACGGCTTCACCAGAGACTTAATGAAGTCTTCCCAGCCATACAGTTTACCCGCGAAGAGGCAATTGGAGACAGTTTGCCGTTTCTGGACGTGAGGATACAGAAGTTGAGCGATGGTAGCCTAGCAACGAGCGTCCATAGGAATGATTCTAAGTCTGAGATTATTCTCAACTATGGAAGCAACCACCCTGCAGCTCACAAAAGAAGTTGCGTCCGAACTCTGTTCCACCGGCTCTACAGTTATTGCAACAGCAACGATCTCCTGAACAAATAGCTTGCTCACCTGTATCGGTTATTCCGCTCTAACGGATATCCGATCAGTTTTGTAAAGAACTGCCTCAGGCACCAGACACAGTCGTAGGACCCCACCCCCAACAGAGAGATTGTAACACGAAACTTCTACTCCTTGCCATATATGCGTGGAAATTCTGAAATAATCGCCCGGCAGTTCAACCGCTTGAGTATTCAGGTTGCCCACAAACCGGCATCTTCACTACGCGCAGCACTATCTCGAGTGAAGGATCCCATCCCCAAAGAGCAACAAACGAATGTAATTTATCGCATCCCGTGCGCTAATTGCTCTTGCGTGTATGTTGACCGTACGCGTCGACGCCTGGGCACCCGTATCGATGAGCACAAATTAGCTATCCGTCGGCCAGACCCCCTGTCCCTCGTTTTTGCCCATGCACTCGAGTACGACCACCGATCCAATTGGGATGGCACCGTGGTCGTCGCCATGGCTAACACAAAGTGAGAAAGGGAATTTATCGAGGGTTGGTACACCAATGCGCGTAGTATCAACCGCCACGTTGACTAAGATGCACATAACGAGGGTCTACGTTCACGACTGACTGCCCCCTGCCCTAATCACGCATCAACGACCGCGAATACAGCCGTCCGCATTTCAACGGATTCACCACTCGCCCTCCCCCTCCAGCACAGTGTGCCATAGTTGTTCCGCCTCCTCTCCCTTTCCCCCCCCTGACTCGGGGACCTACCATGACCTCGGAAGCCCTCCCCCCTCACACGTCAGTGGTCTCTCTGTCCTATCACACCAACTGGTCTACTGTGACAACCTAACTTTTCCCCTTGTTTTCATTTCGTCTGACGACGGGTTGGTGTCATCAGCTCGAAAAT